AAAAGATAATAGGCTGGGGCTGGTTTTGCAACCTGCCTGCATTTGAACTTGAATTGCTCTAGTGCGCTTGCTCAGTAGCTCTAGATGCAGATTCAAGGGTGGGGCTGAGATCACTGTATAATATCATAGATATCTAATACTCTAATATCTATGATAATAATAATGAATGGATCGCCTCGCCCCTTCGCAGGTAGCAATTTAGCAAAGGGGCGGGTTAGACAATCAAAGAAAGCATAGATATTAGAATAAAGTATAATAGTTTTTACATGTTTTTAGTATTTCTTTTACTCTATTTAATTGAAAGATCAAGCATAGATATCTATGCACAGCATAATTTTAATCGCTCTATTATTTATGGATCAAGAGAATGAAGGGATCTAAGAGACAACATGTCAGCTGGATTCAAGTTGAAGGGAACTGAAGAGCCTTCAATTTGCAGCCATGCTAGAAGGGAACAGACGAAGGGGACAACCACAAACAGTCAATACAGAAGCTGAGAAGCAACTTTAAGGAGCAACTTCAATGCAGCTCAGAATTTGGAAGAAACATCTTGGCTTACTGCTTAGTCATTGCACACATGCTAGGACAGCAATCTTATTATGTTTTCTCATACATAGATCTGTATGCTTTATGTTGTGTAGAAAGTTAGAGGTGATTCCGTTAAAATTTGGGTTTTTAAGGCTAGATCTATAGCCTTCAAATGATGTCAAAATCGGCTAGATTAGAATTTTAAATTTTTATAATAATTTCCTGATACATGTACATGTTCTTATGCTGAGCATCAACTTTGAGCTAATTCCAATCAAATTTGGATTCTTATGAATTGTTAAAGTTGTTCAAAAATTGGGCTAAGGACGGATCAAATTTTTTCATAATTGGCTAGGAGAAAATTTTTTGACTTCATGCTGTGTATTAACTCCAATTCTGATCAAATTTCAATTTTTATGAGTTTTTGAAGTTTCTCCAAATGCCATATAGTCAGCTCATAAAGAAACCATGCTTTTCACTTACATGTAGCATGCTTTGAAGGAATCAGGCTTGCATGCCCAATTTTTATGCTAGGCTTTTGTTACCTGTAACAGCTCCTCTTTTGGCTCAATGTTGTGTTTAGCAAATGTCCCAGTTCGATGGTCACCTTCAACTATCATCACTTTGGCATAAATAGTTTGGATTGACAGAGTGATTGGTAAAATGGATCTTATTGTGGCATCAACTGCATAATTTAAAAGTAAAATAAAAGCAATAAAAATATTTGTAGCAAAATCAGGAGCATATAGCCAATAATTTGGTGCTATAGGGTTTACAGTGGGTATCTATTATCATTACAAATTTTTCTTCATACATCTAGAGGAGTACATGTACTTGTACCTATGTTTTGTACAAAAAATAACAATGATAATAGTAATAATAGCAACTATGAAGATACGGAGTCAAATGTTGATGTATGTACATGTACATGGTATAACTGTGTACAATGTAAAGGTTCAAAATAATTCATCATGACATCTACCTATGTACAGAAACAAGCCTGCTGCCAATACTCTAATAGCAAGTTGCTTTTAGTATGTACTAATGCCTTATCATTACATGTATTAAGATTAAAGAGAAAGCTACACATGTACTTCTCATATACTTCCCCTCTCCTGTCAGCTTAATCTTGTGATAATATCTTTAAGAATAATAAAGCATTAACTAAAGAGCAAATATAATACATAATTTAAGTGTAAGAACACATTCGTTTATTTATTAGAAAATAAATTACTTTAGTTCATTATTATTTATGCTAAAGATCAGAAAATAGAATTAAAATTTTACATGTTCAATGGGGACATAAAAGTTGCAATTTTAAGAAAGTATAAGGGATAGTGTTTAAGTGTTACATAACTTTCATAAGGTAAGCTATGTACCATAAATATCATTTGTGGGACTATATTTTAAATTTTGCTGGTTTAGGCCAGGTGTAAACTGTTGATACACTAACTATTAATGCTTTGCACAATTAATTTGCACATCTTATAACAAAAAAACCATATTAAATTCTGGGCATTTCCAGCTATACAGTAGCTTGATAATAAATGTATACCTGGTAGTTATGATCCTTGTTTTCATAGACTACACCCATTTATAGTAGTGCCTTCATTTCATTGATTTCTTTGATAATCATGAAAGCAACAACTCTTCTTCTCTTTCTCACACTAGCTGTCCCTCCTTCATTGCTTTCTTTGGTTAATTCTCAGTCACTCATCTCTTCATCTGTATCTAGCACAATAACTCACATTGCTGTTAGTGCTAATGGAGTCTTTGTGAGCACTGCTACTCAAGTATACCAGTTCTCTTCTACTTTACAACAATTAGGAGACCCTCTTGGGTCTATTGGTGGTACTGTTAATGGAATAGCTAGTACATCAGATGGTGAATGGTGTGTAGTGTGTACTGATGCTGGTGGTGTAACATGTTCTGTTCTTAATGGATCTAATCTAGAAGCTCCTGCTAATAGAACAGTAGATCTAACTAACAGTGGGACTCCTACTAGTCTAGTAGTGTTTACTGGAGGAGATGATAACAGCTTTTACACTGGGAGCTTTATCAATTCATATATTCTATATCATCAGTATGGATTTGCTGGTAGCACACTGTCAAGAGCTACTAGTGCTATAAATCAAATAGCTTCATCAGGTTTTAATCGTGTATTTGAGAGTGGTTTCTTTGCATCAGGATATGCTTATTATGTTGTGAATGATCCTCCAACAAGTGGTGTTAACAGACGGCTTCGTATAATAAGAGTGTGTAATGACAGTGCAGCAGCTGATGGTTTCAACAGTCAATATGAACTGGCTTTAGGTTGTGATGGTAGTGATTCTTTCTTTAATCCTACTCTAATTAATGTGTCTGTTATTAATGAAGAGTCATTGTTAATTGCAATACGTGCTGAATCAGTGGATGATGTATGTACATATAGTCTGCCTGAGATTAACTCTTTAATGAATGTTGCTTATCAATCATGTGTGGTTGATGGTAATGGTAACAAGAATATCTTTTGGCAGAGTACTATATCATGTTCTGGAGGATCACCTGGATTAGATGGAAGCATAGTAAGTTTTAATCTGTACTTGATATAATTATATCTCCTAACAGTGTAGTATATCTGATTCAAGAAGTGGTACTCCAGCTCCAGCAGTTGGTGTATCAAACCCTCTCACTTCCACTGGTCTGGTTACTAACACTACTATACTGACTGGATTAACTGCTATGGTTGGAGTGTCCATTGATGACATTGATTTCATTTATTTTGCATTTACAATAAATAGCAATGATTATTATATCAATAAGGTTAGTAGTTGCATATAGTCTTTATACAATTTGATATAAATCCTATAGTATCACTTGGTCAATAGTACAACCCTTACATTTATATCTCAAGTTACATCAACCTCTCCAGTTACATCATTATCCTGGTCTCAAGGTTCAGAGTATGTGTATGGTATTAGTGGTTCTAATGTAAGTAATAACAATTAATATTATATTGATGATATTATAATGATGTATGTACTATGAAGTAGTAATGGTAGTGATCATACATGATTTCAAGTGTGATGTGTACGTTAGGTAAAATATAGATAAGAGTATAATCAGCCAGAATGTTATATGGTATCTAAATTTAATTTGTCTCATTTTGTATGATTCTTCTTTACTTATAAGGTATCCAGAATAATTACTATATATGTATGTATTAGGTGATTGCATTAAAAATAGAGGATTGTTCCAGTGCTACTAGTTGCTCTGAGTGTGTTAGTTTAGGTGATCCATTATGTGGTTGGTGTATGATAGAGAACAAGTGTTCACGTAGACCATTCTGTCATGATAATAATGAATCAAGACGATACCTAACACAAGGAGACAGTAATGATTGCTTTGATACAGTATCTATTGATCCAAGTACTTATGTAATAGATACACAGCAACAACCTCATCAAGTATGCATCATTAGAAATGTATTTATGCATGATACTTTGCTATTTAGGTCATTCTGACTTTTTCACCAGCTCCACTTCCTCCTATGCTTCAAGGAGAGCAGTACTTTTGTGTTTTCAATGGTATCAAGAGTCCAATGGAAATGTCTATCAATGGCACTATTGGTTCTTGCTCCGTACAATATATAATATCTCAAGTTACAGACATACAATTAAGTATGATAAAATTTTATTTGTTATTGTACTAATGATGTACATATAGACACTACTTTGAGTATTTACAGTAATAGAACTGGTGTTCACTTTTTTACAAGCCCTGATTACTATACCTTTCTGGCAGCAAGGTATGTATTAGCATTTTGCATTAATGTATTGAATTGTAATTTATTAGGTGCAGTACTTGTATTGACTCTGATGTATGTGGGTGGTGTCAATTAGATTTTATGTGTACAGAAAGCAATGATTCATGTACTACTGGTGACTGGCTAACAGTGAGTCCCTTTTTGTTTAGTTTAATAATATTTATTGATGTTGTATAGGTAGAAACTGATGAAGACATTTGTCCTTTTCTACAACCAAATCCACACACATCTGATGGTAGATACACTCTACCAGCTAATATTGTTAAACATTTGGCACTTTATACTATCAATACAGAGGTTTATATAAATAGTATAATGCATATAATTACAAATGCATAATCACATTGCTATAAGTATTATTAACTGCATTTATGAAGGTAGTAAATGACATCCCTTACCTTTAGTCTGTACCTGGTCTCAGTTATGAGTGTGTATATGGTACTGTTATCCGAACTGCTACTGTTAACAATGACAATACAGTGACTTGTAATAATAATCCTGTGGTGAGTAGCAGTTAATAGTCTACTAAATTGATTAATAATTGTTTGGTAGTTAACAATTGAAGGAGGAGGAGGTATTCAGGATGTCTCATTGAGTATTAGACAAGTATACAATGGAAGGAAATATACAATAGAGACTAATGCTACTACAAATCTCAATGGTAAATAATGTTATTCTCTTTGTTGTTCATATAATCATAATCTTGCCATAATTCACACAGTGATTTTGTATGACTGTCCTACATTAGCCCTTGGTTGCTCATCATGTTTAGCACAGAGAATTGATACTGGATTTAATTGCAGTTGGTGTAATGCTCAATGTAGAGACATTAGTGATTGTAATGATGCTAATCCTGTCATTAGTACAGAAAACTGCCCTCTACCAATTATTAGTGACTTTAATCCTAAGGCTGGTCCTCCTAGAGGTGGAACAACTATCATCATTGATGGAACTAACCTGGGTACACAGCGCTCTGACATAGAGTCTGTTATGATCGGTACTAGAAACTGTATTATTATTGATGAATATGAACCAGGAGTAAGGATAACATGTACTATTGTTCCTGATGCTAGTGATGAAACAGACAGGAATGAGACTATTACAATAAGAGTGATCAGATCTAACGATAGTGTAAATGCCAGTAGTTCAACACAGTACCAGTTCATAACACCAATCATTCAATCAGTCAGTCCTACATATGGTCCTGTTAGTGGTGGTACTAGAATAAAAGCACAAGGTACTGACTTTGATATTGGTAATAAAGAAATGACTAGAGTAATACTGAGAGAATCATCATCAAGAAAGAAGAGAAACACATGTCCTGACGTTAACTGTACTATTATGTAAGTATAGAGCCAATAAATAATTATCATTACATAATTATTGTGTATAGGAGTATTACTAATACTGAGATCAATTGTGTTACTGGTAGTGTAAATGCTAGTGACTGTATGAAGAATGTAATAGTATCAGTCAATGGAGCTTCATTCTTTAATACTAGTATAAGTTATCATTATAAACCTGATCCTACTTTTGATAGTATCAGCCCTATGAACATAATTCCAGTGTAAGTACATGGTATAACAATACTGCATACTCTTCATTGCACACTTATTCTTTTAGTGGTGGCATTCAACTAGTATTCACTGGTGCTAATTTAAATTCAGTTCAGTCTCCTACTATTACTATTACTGATAGTAGATTGATTCCTAGTAGTATTGAGGTTAGTATAATGTACTTGTTTATGTAGTTATGTATCTTTTGTAGTCTTGTGTCTTTAATACTGATGCTACATTGGTCTGTATTGCTCCTAATATTAGTAATGTGACAGACAGCAGTTACTATGGGACACATATTGAATACATGCTAATGTTAGATGGAGCAGAGTCACCTAATTACATGAATACTGATCTGAGACTAACACTGCAACCTAATCCAATATTTACTGGTATTGATGTTAACTCAAGATCTATATCAGTTGATGGTAGTAAAGTTATTACTATTACAGTAAGTTCTGTAATGATAAAAAAATTATTTTATGTATTTCAGGGAATGAACATAAAATCTGTTCGTGATTCAGAGATTGATATTACACTAGGAAACAATGATAACGATGTGTGTAATGTCAGAACAAGCTCTAATACTGTAAGTGATTTCTTCATCCCGGTATAGGCATGTATATATAATATAATTTATAATATATAGGAGATTACCTGTAGTCCACCAGGCAAGCCATCAGGTACCACACTAGTACTAAGAGTAAGTATATTCTTCATTAATACTCTACAATCTCATTATGTGTACCTATACAGATTAGAGTGGGAAGAAATTTAGTGTTTCCACCAAATGGTGTCACTGGCCCTGAATGGACACTAGTATATACTAGAACTACTAGTACTACTAGTACTAGTAGTAGTACTACTATTACTAGTAGTACTACTACTATTACTGCAATTACTACTACTACTGGGCCTACTAGCACTAGCACTAGTACTCCCGGTTCTACATCAATTGAAGCTATTGTTGGAGGATCTATAGCAGCTAGTGTGATTATTACAGTGTTGATTGTAGTAATACCATTGATAATTGTCATTTTTATTTTAAAAAAGAGACCAAAGGACAAAAAAGACAAGTAAGTTCATATTATTCATAAAATACTTAAGCTAATACTACCTAGGTTAATAGTTCATGAAGATAATGTAATTGTCCCAATGTCTAACAATATGATTTATCTTAGCAACATTAGCCAAGATAACATTCTCCTTCCCCAGTCTAACCCAGCATACATTAAAGCTTCAGCTATTCACATATATGATGAAATACCTGCAGGCCATTATGAAGAAATACCAGCAGTAAAGAAAAAAAATCTTCACAATAATGATAATGATGATGATGCTATAAGAAATCAAGAAGATCAAGACAATGACAGCTATGTTAGTCAAGTGGATCAAAATGATCAAGATAATGACAGCTATGTTAGTCAAGTGAATCAAGATGATCAAGATAATGACAGCTATGTTAGTCAAGTGAATCAAGATGATCAAGATAATGAAGATAATGAAGGCTATGTTGATATAGGAATGGTTAGTGATATTGCTCAAAGTCAAGAAGATAAAGGAAGCTACAAAAATATTTCAGATAATGATGATTATATTTGAAAAAAATGCTTTTGTAGACTATTTGTATTATGTAAAAAATATTTTTTGCTACATATTATTGTGTCTTTGTATACTTCAAACTTGACTATAGTTTATATTTTAATTTTTATAGCATATTGAAGCCCTTTTTTAGTTATGCTAGAGAAAAAATTGAGCTCTAAAATAATGCAAAAAAAGTTAAATTGAAGCAAAAAAGTCACTATAAGTAGATGTACATGTACATGTGTTTGTATAATAACAATAGGGGAATCTCCTTTAGTTTGATTTGAATTCTTTAGAGTGGCTTATGTCTGATGTTTTTTGATTCTTCAGATCAAATTAACCACCAATTTTAATGTATATTTTATAGTTCATGACATACAATGTAAGTGTCTACAGCTGTTGGTTTAGTCGTACTATAATATGCATGTACAGTTAGCAGTGTTCACCCATTTAAAAATTTCATTTATCAAATAGATCTATAAGGAGTAGGTGAGGTAATAGACACTATTAGTATTTTACTACGTCTATTCCATTGATAGTGTCAAGTGTTATCAATCCTAGTTCTAGCTACTCCTGTAGTTATATACACTGTGCAGTCCAGTCAGTGATCAATAAAAAAACTACAGCTATTATAATAGCTGTAATCTTGATGTTTTTTTTAATGCAGAGTTTAGCATCTTTCTCGCTATTGTAAATCTAAGGCCCTGTAGGTTTAGAGTAGTCTCCGCTCCTTTTTCACATCCTCCTTCCTGACCCAATGTGCATGTATCTCTCTTCAATGCCAAATAATGGTTGGTTGCTGCATGCATAGATGTGTGTTTGTAGCATCTATGCTACATGCATACCCTCTCAAAGCCAAGGAGTGTGGCTGCAAAATATGCCAGTAAGTTTACTCTATTATTTATGGAGTAACTTGAGCTTATTTGCTCTAAAATCTATGTAGTAACAAATTATGCATATGCTAGCTAGTCTATGCTATCATATTTTGCATTAGCATAGTATGCTAATGCTATTAGCTAATTATTTAAATCATTTTCTAGCTAGTTGACTTCAGTTGTTTACAAAGTTTTGATTTTACTTAAGCCTAGTTCTCTCTCTTCTCATCTATAAAAATTAATTATTAATCACTTATTAATCAGCTCCGCCCAAATAGATCTATCTAGATGATTAGATCTACTTGACAGTTGAATCACATGATTGATGTTTTGATGATGATGATTCGGTTAGGGCTAGCTAGTAATGGATCCATGGCTTCTAAAACTCGGTCTAAAAGTAAGTACTAGATCTAATTACCTTGTTACTATTCCACTATCATGCACTGTATCCTTACTCAATAGATCAACTGAATAAAAGAGGTGGTCACCGCAGTGTATCAGTAGGTGATTCACTGTATGTGTGGGGTGGTGCTCAAGATGGTTTGCCTAGATTGCATGATAGTGAAGAGAAGAGAAGGGTCACTACTCACTAGTATTTTACAGCTCTTTACTCCTTCAACTGGTCAATGGATTACTAGAGGTACTACTGGTACTCCTCCATTAGGAGTGATGCAATACTCCTGTACTGCAATAAATGATCAATTGTATTATTTCGGGGGATGGTGTGGCCATGGCGACTGCCTTCACAACAGTATTACTCAACTAGATACCATTAGCCTTCAATGGAGAGAATTAGAACCAACTGATGCAACTAGACCAGTTATGATGAGGGGTTATGGTGGAATGATATCAATTGAACATGATGGAATACATCATTTACTAATGATAGGAGGAATGGGATCTAAACCAGCTGTACAGCTACCACATAATAGATATATTAAGTTATCTAGTGCACACTGGTGTACTAATGAACACTCAATGTATAATCTATCATCAAGTAAGATTTTATAATTTACTGTTTGAAATTATCGTAATCATAATAATTTAGGAAAATGGAGCAATCCTTCAATCATTGGTCAGTGTATGCTACCTGCTAATGGCTTTGTCATTGAAAAGATCAATAATACTAGAGCTGTTGTGTTTGGTGGACGAGAGACTGATGATGATGCTAAGGAAACTGTTACTGACAATATTTATATATTAGAGATATCAATCAGCAGTGTGGTATGTTAATTATGTGTACTGAATGTATGCACACAGCCACACACAGATACAATGTTAATGGGTTTAGTTATTATGTTTTTTAGTTCTGGCAGTGTCTAAAGAAACCTGAAGCAATTATAGACCAATGGCCTGTGGGTAGATACTATCATGCAGGTGCTATTATTATAACTGGATGTCCTATGCTAGTGATAAGTGGTGGGTGGGATAAGAATAATGATACATTAGAGGATTGTTGGATCTTCAACATCATTCAACATTCCTGGATAAAGGTATGATCTGTACAATGAGATACTATATTAATTTATTTCTATGTGAACAGTTAGATGTACCTCACTCTGTTAGTAAGAGATTTGCACATTCTCTATCAGTGTTCATTATGAGTCCTCATTGTGTTTGGATGGTAACAGCTGGAGGAATTGTTGATATAACTTGGAAATTAGTCACTAATCCTAAAGTTGTTATGTTAACTGAACTAGGTCAGTGTATTATTGCTATACGAATAAATACTGTTAATTACCTAAATCATAAATATTTTTTATTTTCTTTGACGTACTTAATGCTGCATTCGATTTACACCCTTTATTGTATTTTAGTTACTAACAGTAAAGAAGAGTGGGCAGTAGGTGATACATTAGATACCAATGGTATAAATAGTGAAGAATGCAAAAAGAAATATCAGCAGCAACTACAGTTAGTAAGAAGAATGTGGTTGGAGGAGTACCAGAAACCAAGAAAAGGAGATACGGCTGATATTGAGCAAACTGTACAAGTTCTTAATGAAGAAATAAGAAGATATTGTCATCAGCTACAAGAGAGGGATAGAGAGCATCAGGTGATACTGCAGGAGCTACAAGAGAAGAGTAGGGATCTACTTCAATCTCAAGAGGCAGTTCGTAGGTACCAGCAACAAGCACTTACTGATGATCACTGGGTTATTAATAAAGATGAGGTGATTTTGACAAAGGAGGAGCTAGGAAGAGGATCTTATGCTGTCGTTACAGTTGGTATCTTTAGAGGTTTAAGAGTAGCTGTCAAGTCACTTCATACTATCATCATCTCAGATTATAATCTAGCTCTCTTCTCCAGGGAAATGAATATAGCATCACGAGTACGTCATCCTAACCTGGTCCAGTTTATTGGTGCAACTAAAGTGGGTAATCCTCTCGTCTTGACTGAGCTGATGAGCACTAGTCTTAATCAGGAGCTTCGCAAAAGCCAATTAACCAATCAACAGATTCTCAGTATTGCTCATAATGTAGCTTTAGGCCTCAACTACCTTCACCTATTCAAGCCTCAGCCTATTATTCACAGAGATATCAGCAGTCCTAATGTATTATTAAAGCCTTGCACTGGACCTGCTGGTTATGATTATGAAGCTAAAATAGGAGATTATGGTACAGCCAAAATAGTGCAAGCCGAAAATACTGATACTGTTATGCCAGGCAATGTTGCATATGCTGCACCAGAAGCTCCTATTCCTGATCAACACAGTCCAGCAATGGACGTCTACAGTTACTCAATTCTCCTTATGGAAATGAATTTGTGCTCTCGACCAGAAATGACGACAGCAGAAAGAGAATTGCAATCTTTTAGTATCTCCTGGTCTGATATGAAGTCTCTCATACAAAGAGGACTTAATGCTAATCCTAGAGCTCGTCCAACTATGGCTCAAGTAATAGAGTCATTGAAAGGGATGAAGATTTGATTACATGTAATTGTTTGTAATCTTATTATTACTACTGCCCTTTAGTTAGTTTTCTATTATTTTAGCATGCTTTGTGTCTTTTTTTTATTTCCTTTTTTTAATGTTGTATTAATTCTAAAGTGTTAAAGATGTGGAACCTGCCCTTATTCATAAATTTTAGCAGCTGAGCAGCCTAAATGAATGGGAACTGATCATGAGCTGGTGGGTGTACATTAGTGGATTGTTCATTAATAGCTACTCCTTGAATACAGTGCAAGGCCAAGGCCAATATTTGAATCTAGTCAAAAATTTATAATTTTTATTAAATTTAAATTAGCAATAATAGATCTACCTATCATGTTCACTTCACAAATAGTCAGAATAGTCATTATGTGTTGTCTATTCTTTGCTTCCTCTTTCTATATAACATACTTGAGTTGCTCAGTAGGGCAGTACCCCTAAATAATGAATGAACAGCATTTAATGTACAGTAGAGCTATTACAATATTACTGTGATGGGAAACATTATGGGGCAAGCCTGAGCAAGCAAATCAATGTATTTGTCAAGATACAGCATTACGTTTTGTGCAGAATGCAGCTCAGAATTTGAAAGAAACTTCTTGGCTTACCACTTAGTCATTGTACACATGCTAGGATAGAAATGTCTTCTGAATTCTGATACATTTATGTTTTTCGTTGTGTAGAAAGTTAGAGGTGACTCTGTTTAAATTCAAATTTTAAGGCTATAGCCTACAACAAATATTATCAAAATTGGCTTGGAGAAAATTCTTCCATTTTATGATTTTTTTCTAATATGCATACAAGTCTTCATGCTGTGTATGAATTAATTTTGAGCCAATTCCAATCAAATTTGAATTTTTATGAGTTTATAATAAAGGCATGCTTTTTAGTTCACTTACATGTATCATGCTTTGAAGGAAACAAGCTTGCATACCCAATTTTTTATATAGGTCTTTGCTACCTGTAACAGCTCCTCTTATGGCTCAATGTTGTGTTTAGCAAATATCCCAATTTGATGGTCACCTCCAACTATCATCACTTTGGCCTAACAGTTTGGATTGACAGAGTGGTTGGTAAAACAGATCTTTTAAGTGTGACATCAACTGCATAATTTAAAAGTAAAATAAAAGTAATCAAAATAATTGTAGTATAATTAGGAGCATATAGCCAATAATCTGGTGCTATTACTGGTATCATTACAAATTTTTCTTCATACATGAGAGGAGTACATGTGCATGTACCTATGTTTTTTTGTGAAAAAATAACAATGATAATATTAATAATAGCAACAATGAAGATACCCAGCCAAATGGTGATGTATGTACATGTACATGGTATAACTGTGTACAATGAAATGGTTCAAAATAATCCATAATCTACCTATGTATACACACATGAACTGAAACAAGCTGGCTGCCAATACTCTAATAGTAAATTGCTTTTAGTATTACCAATGCCTTACCATTACATGTATATGATTAAAGAGAAAGCTACACATACACTTCTCATATACTTTCCCTCTCCTGTCAGCTTAATCTTGTGATATTATCAATAAGAATAATAAAGCATTAACTAAAGAGCAAATATAATTATACATGATTTAAGTGTAAGAATACTCTTTTTTATTTATTAGAAATAAATTACTTTAGTTCATTATTATACATGCTAAAGATCTGAAAATAGAATATAAATGCTAAGTATTCAATGGGGACATAAAAGTTGTAATTTTAAAGTGTTAAATAAGAAGTATGAGGGATAGCATTTAAGTATTACATAACTTTCATAAGGTAAGCTATGTACCATAAATATCATTTGTGGGACTTGATTAAATTTTGCTGTTTAGGCCAGGTGTAAACTGTTGATACACTAACTATTAATGCTTTGCACAATTAATTTGCACATCTTATAACAAAAAACCACATTAAATTCTGGGTATTTCCAGCTATACAGTAGTTGGATAATATAAATCTATATCTGGTAGCTATGATCCTTGTTTACATAGACTACACCCATTTATAGTAGTGCCTTCATTTCATTGATTTCTTTGATAATCATGAAAGCAACAACTCTTCTTCTCTTTCTCACACTAGCTGTTCTTCCTTTCTTGTTTTCTTTGGTTGATTCTCAGTCACTCATCTCTTCATCTGTATCTAGTACAATAACTCACATTGCTGTTAGTGCTAATGGAGTCTTTGTGAGCACTGCTACTCAAGTATACCGGTTCTCTTCTACTCTACAACAATTAGGAGACCCTCTTGGGTCTATTGGTGGTACTGTTAATGGACTAGCTTGTACAATATATGGTGAATGGTGTGTAGTGTGTACTGATGCTGGTGGTGTAACATGTTCTGTTCTTAATGGATCTAATCTTGAAGCTCCTGCTAATAGAACGGAGATTAACAGTGGGACTGCTTCTAGTCTAGTAGTGTTTACTGCTCCTGGAGGTGATGGTAACAGCTTTTATACTGGGAGCTATGCTAATGATCGTATTCTATATCATCAGTATGGGTTTGCTGGTAGTACACAGTCAAGAGCTACTAATCCTGTACATCAACAAACTTTCAGTTTTAATCGTGTATTTGTGAGTGGTTTCTTTGCCTCAGGATATGCTTATTATGTTGTGAATGATCCTCCAACAAGTGGTGTTAACAGACGGCTTCGTATAATAAGAGTGTGTAATGACAGTGCAGCTGATGACTTCAACAATCAATATGAACTGACTTTAGGTTGTGATGACAGAGATTCTTTCTTTAATTCTACTCTGCTTGGTGTATCTGTTATTAATGAAGAGACATTGTTAATAGCAATACGTACTAGTTCAGTGGAAATATGCTCATACAGTCTGTCTGAGATTAACTCTTTAATGGATGCTGCTTATGAATCATGTGTAGTTGATCATACTGGTAGTAAAAATATCTTTTGGCAGAGTGCTGTACTATGTTCAAGGTTATCAGGAAGTATTGTAAGTTTTAATTTTTTAAAATGATAATTAGATTCATTTCTCCCAACAGTGTAGTATTTCAGATTCAAGAAGTATTAGTCCAGCTCCAGCAGTTGGTGTATCAAAGCCTCTCACTCCCACTGGTCTAAATATTAACAGTACTATATTGAATGGATCAACTGCTATTGTTGGACTGTCCATTGATGGCATTAATTTCATTTACTTTTCATTTACATTAAATGACTATATACATTATAACAGTAAGGTACGTTAGTTATAGTCTTATTACAGTTTGATATGAATTCTACAGTATCACTTGGTCAATGGTACAACCCTTACATTTGTATCTGAAGTTACATCAACTTCTCCAGTTACATCGTTATCCTGGTCTCAAGGTTCAGAGTATGTGTATGGTATTAGTGGCTCTAATGTAAGTAATAACGATTAATATTATATTGATGATATTATAATGATGTATGTGCTATGAAGTAGTAATGGTAGTGATGATACATGATTTCAAGTGTGATGTGTATGTTAGGTAAAATATAGATAAGAGTATAATCAGCCAGAATGTTATATGGTATCTAAATTTAATTTGTCTCATTTTGTATGATTCTTCTTTACTTATAAGGTATCCAGAATAATTACTATGTATGTATGTATTAGGTGATTGCGTTAAAGATAGAGGATTGTTCCAGTGCTACTAGTTGCTCTGAGTGTGTTAGTTTAGGTGATCCATTGTGTGGTTGGTGTATGATAGAGAACAAGTGTTCACGTAGACCATTCTGTCAGGATAATAATGAAATAAGACGATACCTAACACAAGGAGACAGTAATGATTGCTTTGATACAGTATCTATTGATCCAAGCACTTATGTAATAGATACACAGCAACAACCTCATCAAGTATGCATCATTAGAAATGTATTTATGCACAACACTTTGCTATTTTTATATTACATTTAGGTCATTCTGACTTTTTCACCAGCTCCACTTCCTCCTATGCTTCAAGGAGAGCAGTACTTTTGTGTTTTCAATGGTATCAAGAGTCCAATGGAAATGTCTATCAATGGCACTATTGGTTCTTGCTCTGTACAAGCTATAATATCTCAAGTTACAGACATACAATTAAGTATGATAATATTTTATTTGTTATTGTACTAATGATATACATATAGATACTACTTTGAGTATTTACAGTAATAGAACTGGTGTTCACTTCTTTACAAGCCCTGATTACTATACCTTTCTGGCATCAAGGTATAATTAGCATTTTGCATTAATGTATTAAATTGTAATTCATTAGGTGCAGTGCTTGTATTGACTCTGACATATGTGGGTGGTGTCAATTAGATTTTATGTGTACAGAAAGCAATGATTCATGTACTACTGGTGATTGGCTAACAGTGAGTCATTTTTTGTTTAGTTTAATAATATTTATTGATGTTGTATATAGATAGAAACTGATGAAGACATTTGTCCTTTTCTACAACCAAATCCACACACATCTGATGGTAGATACACTCAACCAGCTAATGTTGTTAAACATTTGGCACTTTATACTATCAATACAGAGGTTTATATAAATAGTATAATGCATATAATTACAAATGCATAATCGCATTGCTATAAGTATTATTAACTGCATTTATGAAGGTAGTAAATGACATCCCTTACCTTTAGTCTGTACCTGGTCTCAGTTATGAGTGTGTATATGGTACTGTTACCCGAACTGCTGCTGTTAACAATGACAATACAGTGACATGTAATAATAATCCTGTGGTGAGTAGCAGTTAATAGTCTACTAAATTGATTAATAATTATTGTTTGATAGATACCAATTGAAGGAGGAGGAGGTATTCAGGATGTCTCATTGAGTATTAGACAAGTATACAATGGAAGGAAATATACAATAGAGACTAATGCTACTGCAAATCTCAATGGTAAATAATGTTATTCTCTTTGTTGTTCATATAATCATAATCTTGCCATAATTCACACAGTGATTTTGTATGACTGTCCTACATTAGCCCTTGGTTGCTCATCATGTTTAGCACAGAGAATTGATACTGGATTTAATTGCAGTTGGTGTAATGCTCAATGTAGAGACATTAGTGATTGTAATGATGCTAATCCTGTCATTAGTACAGAAAACTGCCCTCTACCAATTATTAGTGACTTTAATCCTAAGGCTGGTCCTCCTAGAGGTGGAACAACTATCATTATTGATGGAACTAACCTGGGTACACAGCACTCTGACATAGAATCTGTTATGATCGGTACTAGAAACTGTATTATTATTGATGAATATGAACCAGGAGTAAGGATAACATGTACTATTGTTCCTGATGCTAGTGATGAAACAGACAGGAATGAG